ACATTCACAGGTGTATTTCTTGTGACATCGCCTATAATCAGATATCAACAATTTCTACCCTTTGACCTTAACCTTGGAGTTTGACCTACTTTTAAAAATTTAACCTTGATCATTAATTTTTGAATGGTTGGTGCTAGGGCTTTCATATTTCACATGTATAATTCTTATGACAAGAGCTTCCTTTGAATACCAACACTTTTGACTTCGTATCCTTGGCCTTAGATTTTGACCTACTTTTAAAACCATAAATTTTGAATGGTTTGTGCTAGGGTTTTCCTATTTTTACATGTGTATTTCTTATAAAAAGACCTTCCTTTGAGTACCAACAGTTTGACATTTGTTCGCGACCTTGGAGTTTGACCCACTTTTAAAACGTTTTAAGCTTAAACATAAACTTTGAACGGTTAGGACTAAATTTTTCACATTTCACAGGTGTATTCCTTGTGACATCGCCTATCATCAGGTATCAACAGTTTTTACCTTTGACCTTGACCTTTGAGTTTGACTTACTATTAAAAATTTCAACCTTGGTCATAATTTTTTAATGGTTGGTGCTAGGACTTTCATATTTCACTTGACAAGAGCTTCCTTTGAATACCAACACTTTTGTCTTTGTATCCTTGACCTTAGATTTTGACCTACTTTTAAAACCTTAACTTTTGAATGGTTTGTGCTAGGGTTTTCAAAATTTACATTTATATTTTACATATATATTTTATATGTGCATTTCTTGTGACAAGACCTTCCTTTGAGTACCAACAGTTTTGACATTTGTCCTTGACCTTGGAGTTTGACCTATTTTTAAAAAACGTTAAACGTTCCATAACTTATGATTAATTGGTGCTAGGACCTACATATTTCAATGTCTATTTTTTGTGACAAGGGCTTCCCTTGGTCACCATTAATTTGTGCTTGATCTTAATGTTTGACTTACGTTTCAAAAAACTTTAATTTTTGTCAGAACTTTTCAACAGCTAGTGCTAGGGTTTTCATATTTCATAGCATATTCCCTGAGACAAGATCTTATTAGGGTAACATCATTTTTTATTTCTTGACGTTGACCTTGGAGTATGATTTGTATTTGAGAAACTTAAATCTTTGCCATTAGCTGCCATACGGGGCACCAGTGTTTCACAAACACGTCTTGTTCAATATCCACACTGGACATAAAACATTCACAATGAATCTTTAAATCATTGTGTTGAACCTAATAAATTACTTTGACTCGATGTATGGTCTGAAAGAGCATGGCTGAACTTATCCAGTCAAAAACCCTCAGATTTGGATTGCTCATAACCAGTGTGTGTTATGGCCTTGATGCAAGGTCATTTGGACAAGTTCAAGGTCACAGAGAAACTGTAAATACGTTACCTTCTTTCTACTAGTGAAACATTGCTGGTATCATACAGAGTGTGACATGGCCTTGACTCATGTTCAAGGTCAATAATGATAGATGTTTTGACTGGATGTATGATGTGAACTTGTCAAGTCGGAAGCACACAGATGGGGTTTGCTCATAACCAGAGTATGCCATTGCCTGACGCAAGGTCATTTGGACAAAAGGTCACGTACATTCCTTTACTGTCTTTTTACCAGCGATACATTGTTAAGTTGATACCCATTACAAGATTGCTTATAACCAAAGAGTGTGGCATGACTTTGACTGGAGGTCCCTTCTTTCTGTCCGCAGCTCCAACGGAAGACCTACTCGTTGCTTTGCAACGAGCTTGGCTCTAGTTTTAACAATTTTGGTAATATTTTTAAACAGTCAATATTCCTTCAGATTACTATGCAATCTAGACGCATTTCAAGTTCTGCACTTTTCTATACCGTCATTTTCCTCCAATAAAAATGTGTATTATATGTGGTCACGTACTTCAAACCCAAAGTCGGTGGCTCTGAAGAATGCAGGATCAGTATTTGTCATTAAACTACCTAATTTCATAATACATTGTATTTGGATATTCATAATATTTTTATACCAAAAAAAATCCGAATATTACACATTACATTCCAGTAAGTAGTAAAATTCATCTCCAATTTGATCATTATTGCACAGGTAATATACACTCTTTCATTTCTCTCAACGTTATTCCGTCTACCCGCCTTTATTCGAAGAAGTTCTCAATTTTACAAAATTATTTCTAAATTTTCTTGGTAAAACAATTAAGTATACTTAACATCCAAATTTTGTTTTAAAAAATCTGTATATGTAATATCCTTACTGGAATTATTTATATCGCTATTTTTGTATTAACTGGTCTTTGAGCATCGAACTAATAATACATCTATTTTTGCATAAATCATGGGGTAAAAAATTATATATTTCTTGTTTAAAGAGGCTGGGGGGTTGTGGCCATTTTTAGACTATATTGATCTCCTTTAGAAGAAGAGCTCCATATGGAGATATAGAAAATGATCAAATTTTAAAACTAAAATTTTTGAAATTTTTCTTTGCCAAATGATAGTTGACAGCTTAAGATATCATATCTAAACAATTAAGTTAAATCTGGTGGTTAATTTGTGGTTAATTTGTTGACCACCCAGCCTCCTTAAAGTTATCAGATTTGAACAAATAATGAAGCACATCCAGTTATCCTAAACTGCGCAGATTACAAGTTCTTTCACTTCTTTCATATACATGAGATCAACAGCTAACACAGAAATACTTCTCAAATCCAAATTCAGTCTTATTAAACACTTTGGCGAATTATGTTTTTGAATTTTCCATTCATAAATAAATAGATTTGTATAGTACTTCTTCATATTTTTGATAAATGTAATAGTCTATCAGGAGACTGATTTCTCCAATAATTGACATAACAACATGTAGTTAAAACTTTAACACAATTCAACTATTTGAAATGATAAACAGTTTATACATAGTTATAGAGTGTTCGAGAAACTTCCGTAACAAACACCTAGGAAGCGTGTTCATATCTCAGAATTATCTCCCTTTGTTTTTAAATCTATAAATTAAATGGGCAATTATTTTTCCCATTTTCATTAATAATTTATTCCTTTTATAACAAGATTGTGTAAATTACATTTTTAGATAAATAAATAAAATTTTATTTAAATAATGGTTCAATATACTTATACATTTTTATTCTTATGTTTAAGAAACCTACTTATAATTAAATACTAGAAAAAGTTTAAGACATCGTAGTCTTTCAACAGGTTGAATCCAAAAAAACCCATGCAAGTTTGGTTCAATTTTGACACGTGAGGAATTCGACCGACGGGTCGTTGTCCATCACGTAAGTACAATAAATAATAGACATAAATTGCAAAATTTACATTTGAATGTCGTTGCAAGACTCTAGAATGGCTTTAAGTAACGGCATAATAGAAACTTTGCGATGTCATCTTATCAACATTGTGGAGTGTTCGAGAAATTTTCTTCTTGTTTACCTGTTTAAATTCGTTCCCCAAAACATGGTCAACATGCCAAGATTCAATATAATATATATTTATATAGTTTGATTTGTGTATATACTGTAATATACATTATTTAGATTAAACATATATGTACAACATCCGGCCCATCAGACCTATAAGTCGCTTATCCATTACACACAAGTGCATAGGCACTCCCCAGCTTAATTGCTGAAAAATATATATCTACTATACTATAAACATAACGCTGTTTACAATCTCTGCCCAGAGTTATCGTTCCTGCTTCGCTCCACTTAGCGTTGTAGCGCAGCGTAATACGCCCTCTGGTGAGAGATTGCTATGCTTATAGTATAGTAGATGTATTTTTTAAACAATTAAGCTGGGGAGTGCCTATGACAAGTGATTTTTCTTTGTCTTATATATTATTCATTATATATGAAACTCATATGTGTTAGGATGTTTTGTTTTTATGTGACGCTTATCCTTTATATACAAGTGTTTTCTTTATTTCTTTGTTTGGCGCTAATGGGCTTCGGTAAACCAGGTCAGCGTGTTCATATCTCGATATTATCTCCCTTAGTTTCAAAATCTGAAAATTAAATAGGCAATTATTCTTCCTAATTTAATTACAAATTTATTTCTTTTATAACAAGATTGTTTAAATTACACTTTTAAATAATTAAATGGAATTTCATTCTTACATTAGACGATTTACTTGTAAACTTTTCCCTTCCGTTTACAAAACCTACTTAAAATTAAACGCTAGAAAATCTATTAGATATCTCATTACTTTCAACGGGTTGCATCCAAAAACCTATGCAAGTTTGGTTCAATTTTGAAACGTGAGGGTGTCGACCGACGGGTCATTATCCATCACGTAATAATAAAGAATAAAGTAGATAAAACCTGTAAACAACTAATTCCATAATGGGGAAAATGCTGAATATTCTGTTCATTCTGACATTCAGTTTATGTCAAAAAACGAACTTTGTAATGTTGGCTTAACGACGTGGAAACAGAGAATGCACACAACAGTGATCTAGTTATTATCTTGAACCTGGACCCCTGAACTCAGTTACATGAAGGTGCCCTATCTACTGAACTTCAGACCACAAACCCAAAACAAACCTCAGACAAAATTTTGATTTTGAATACCGGTAGGCGGTACCTTATTTTTTATATTACATGGATTTTTTTACATTGCAGGATAGTACATTATTCAAATACAAACACATGTAGAAATTTTGCTCATTAAAATGTATAAAAATTTTTACTTAACTCTGCTCTCAGTTTATGGTTCCATACTAAGAGAGAATAATTAATTCACTATGTCTACCAGATGCAAACCAAGACTTTCTAGAAATTTCTTCAAAATATTAAGAAAATGCAAAGTAAAACTTATGAATGGTCAAATCTAAAAGTGGAAGATATGGGGGAGTACAGTTTAACATTTGTGAGATGGTCACTTTCAGTGCTTCAAATTTGTAAAAATGGTTTTTGCATTTAAAACCTCCATCTCCAAATATTAAACATTCAAAGTAAATAAGATATAATAACATATTAAAAAAACACACTAATTTTAAAAGGAATTTTAAGAGGCATTCAGATTAAATATATTTTTTTTATTTAATACTAGCAAATGGATTCAAAATTCTACAAATACACAAAGAAAATAAAAGGAAAACATTAAAATAATCATGTAAAAAGTATCAAATTTATTTCAAAAAATTCATTAGAGTATATATAAGGCCACATAAAATTAAAATTTAGATTCTCATCCTAATTTGCTAAAAAATTGGGGCGGGTGGGCGGATTTTATTTTTTATAATTGAAAGTATCAACAAAACATTCGTACACGTAATTTTTATATTATGTTAATGCCAATATGAATAGATTTCATTGTTTTCATATTCTTTTAAATATCTACAGAAGATTCTTGTTATAGAAAATTAAAATATTTATAGTTTTATTAACGAATTATCAAGTACACAGATACGACACACGCCAAACAAAATGAGGTGCTGATCCTAAAAAATTGCATATGCATGTTTTCTCATTGGCCTTGCCCAAATACCTTATAGTTTTACCAACAACTCCTTCTTTTCTGTGTGATATATCACAGATTTCCACTGTCCTCATACATTCAATCATTCTTGAGACTTGACATGTTCGACATTAAAATATATCATATTTGCAAAACAGGATTGTGTAAATCTGTAAAATATTCTACTGAAAAGCCTAGGCCTGAACAGTTTTAAGATTTAACATTTCCTTAGCACTATTATTCTCTAAAGTCTTTTGACAATGTTTTATATTTTTTTAATGCAAAATCACATACAACTGGAGATCGTTATTTAAAACTTGACCATGTATCATTTTCTTCGTCTGTTTTTACTTGGTTAAAATCTCTTTAAAAACTTGCCCATGCCAGTGATGGTATCTAGATGTGTTTATGTTATTTTTGCTTTTCTGCCTTCTCTATACAACAAATTATCTTTTCCTGACATATTTAAACTGCTTTTATTGCTGATTTTTCTCCATTCTTCACATAGTTTTTTTTTTGCTATAAATAGCGCCATGCGACTTTTAATACAGACGGGAGATAACTCTTAAATTTTGACTCAGATTCTTGTTGAATAAATACATGAAAATAATACTTTCCACATCCAAAAAGCAAAATAAAAAACGACGGGGCGGGGCACTTTGAGAGGGGCGGGCAGGGATGAGAATCTAAAGATTAATTTTACCTGGCCTAATTTGACATTAGGGTTGCGAGACCTTTTTGTTAAGTTCTACTGCCAAGCATCTTTTGAACTTTCCTACTACCATAAAGTACAGATTTCACTATCCCTGCAGTGAATATGCCTTTAATGCTCTGGCTTCTACTAGAACTTTTTACAATCTCTGCAATACTTTGTCTCACATAGTCTGCACAGTTACTGTCAAAAGCTAGCTGTCTGATGATTTCCTCTAGATCAGGGTATTTCCCTGGCCTCCTGTGCATACAAGCTAAAAGATTTAACTGAACTGTTTTTGGAAGAAGGTTCAAGTGATGAAATTGGGACACATGATTTGGGTACTGCTCTAAGACACCTTGCTTCATATTCCATTTCACATGTTCCTCTTTTAATAAAATTTGTTCATAAAGGTTCCTAAAGTAAGCCATATTTGGTTTGACAATATTAGAAATTTTGTTTTTGTCTTCACCAAATTTCATCCTAAAGTCACCATCGTACGAGAGGGCAGCAATCTGTTGATACAATTCTTCCTCTGTGAAAGTTTCTGGAAGCAAAAGTAATGCTGCATGTATTGCATTCTCCAAATTTATTTGCATAGCTGAGCACAGCTCCACCTTTTTGGGTGAAATAAGAATTTTGATTGGTTTATGCATTCTACCACTCACATACAAAGTGTTCCAATCCAACAGGTCAGTTATAAGCTGCTTTGTGCTTATAACTCCATATTTAATTTCTCTCCCAGCACACTGCACTTTGGTATTGAAATAAACAGCAGCACCATATTTCTCTTGAATATTTGAAACTTGCTTTGCTCCCAAAAATTTCAGGAATGAATAGTGTTTCCCATTTTGTTTCATATTTTTATAATGCCAGCTGTATGAATCGTCCACAACAAATATCAAATCAATCATATTTCCTTGAACCTGAGCATCACTTTGACCCTCCTGTTTAAATACTCCAGATCCATAAGCAAATGCCATTTGTATTCCTCCAGGAAACTGCTCCAAAATAGCCTCATAGTGATCCAAATGCTTTGAGGGATTACTGTATGTTGCATAGCGTTTTAAACAAAATACTGAACGGCAAACCGAGAGTCGAGATAAAACAGGCCACATCATTTCTCTCGCTCAAACACACCAACAGCATCCACTTCTGAATTCTTCAGATGATCAAGTTGCTTTCTTCCCAACCTATATTGATACTCTATCCTCAATGTGTCTGTTCGAGGCAATTTTGCATTTTTGCGAAACTCATTACGAATAATCTCTTTTAAACCAGGTTTATCTTTTGAGAGTTTAAGAAATTCTTTGTAGAGGCTTAAAATCTGAAGCTGTATTTGACTGTGTTTTGGCATGTCAAAATTTATTAACTTAAATCTGAAATGAAAAAAATTAATTATGTACATTTTGTTAATTGATTATTAAATTTTAATTATTAAATCATACATTTCTTCAGTTTAGAACTTGATCCTTGGCAAATACTTCTGTTAACTTTATTTATGTGCAGGGCACGTGTCGAGGAAATTCTAACTTCATAAACTATTTCTAATAATCTAATCATTTTTAGGTTAAATAATTCGGGACAATCATAGTTCCACAGAAGATTATTAACTATTGAGGGGATGTAATTACTATTAAAAGAAATTATTTAATTACACAATAATCAGACCTACCAGGATTTGTTTGTCCTTCCACCCACAAGCTGACTGCATTCTGATTCACTGGTTTCTAATTTCATGGTAAGTGAACCAGCAAATGTTTAGTAAGGCGTACATATGTCAGTGATCTTTCCTTTATTTCTTTAAAGGGCTTAAAGTGTTCGTTAAAAAAATATTATTACTTTATTATTTTCACTCAATGTAAACTGAAGGCATTCAAAGAGATTTAATGATAAAATCTTGATAACAGGAGACACATTTTCTTCGAAATAGTAAACGTTCAAATTAACCAATGAAGTTAAAAATAGATATCTTATTTATAGACATAAACACATTCTTTTTAACTTCATTTTGGTTTATAATAACGAGGAGGGCGTGTGTAGTAGTGCTTAAATAATTAATTCGATGCCAGGAGACGTGATTCATCTCAATGTAGGGGGATCAAGGTAAAAAAGAAGAAAACTGGTAAAATTTCTGTTGCTTAAAATTTTCTTGTATCTAAAAATATCAAAAGATGCATTTCTTGTTGCTTATCAACTGTGATATCACAGTAAGATCATTATTGCATGAGGGTTTCATTTTCATACAGGTTTTCAACATCAAGACACACCCTGACATGGATTCCAGATTCATTCTTTACAAGGTATGAGTAGGCTATATCCAAACAGGGACCTATATACTAAGTTAGTATATAGGTCCCTGATCCAAAGAGTAAAAATACAGTACTGTTAATACACCACCTACATGTAGCTGTCCTAAAATGTAATCAAATGCACTACAGCAGAGCACAATGGATCTTCTGAATTTTGATATCAATTTCAATGTACCCATAGATAGGGATGTTCATAAGATATGTATATGTATAGTTTTTAGTTTAAATGCATGAACATGAAAAGTATCAATTTAAAGATTACCTGGTATAATCTTTTTTCAGTATGCTGAGTGGCAGGATATCATCCCAGATGGATGAAACTGGTGCAGTAAGTGAAATCATTTTCATTGAGTTAAGGCTTGATTACAATTTTACGTTAAATGTAAATATAAGAATAATGTTTCTCTTTTCTTTTCAGATTTTTATTGACAGAGATCCGGTGATATTTTCTGTGATACTGAACTTCATGAGAACCAAGGAAGTAGACTTTGGGTATAAGCCATTTTTATCATTCAAGATTTCAGTTAGAGGAATTAACAGTACCTTTATGATAATATTAAGTAAAAGTTTAAAATGACTAGATAATACGATTTAAATTTTTACATTGTTTTAATTTGTTCTTTTGACAGTGGTAGCGGACTGTAACATATGAATAAATATGTATTACATGATTATACATGGATGTCATTCAGTGGTGTTGAAGTAATTCCTTCGGTGTTTAAACAATTAATCCTTGTTGATGTTCTCATTATCTTGTTATTTCAGAAGTGTTGACATATCAGCTCTCCGCCACGAGGCAGAATATTTTGGCATTACCCCCTTAGGTATACTTGTATTTTCTTTTCATGTATTTTCATTCAATATTCCATTTCATTTTTTATAATGATTTTGTTGTTAGAATTTGCGTGTTCTTATATAAATGAAATAAAGTCCACAATACTATTATCTTCTTTCAGTTATTAAAATACTGTACAGTAACTCTTCATTGTACTAAATTTACTTGTAGATTTTCAGTCAATATATTTGTAAGATTACAAAGATTATGTGTTAAAGTATTTTAAAAAAAGAATGGAAAAAACAGTGATATGTTTCTGATTTATTTTATTAACCAAATAATTACACATATGAATATTTTGAATAACTTCATTCTTAATATTTTGTCTCTCGCACATACATGTATATTTCTATGATAACAGTGAGACGTTTAACTCTTTGTGAGGATCTTGAACATGCTTCCTGTGGTGATGTTTTATTCCATGGCTATCTTAATCCACCAGGTAAGTGTATACATGACTATCTTAATCCACCAGGTTAGTGTACATACATGACTATCTTCATCCACGAGGTTAGTGTATTTATGACTAACTTCATCGACCAAGTTAGTGTATACATGGCTATCTTAATCCGCAGGGTTAGTGTATACATGACTATCTTCATCCACCAGGTTAGTGTATACATGACTATCTTAATCCACCAGGTTAGTGTACATACATGACTATCTTCATCCACCAGGAGAGTGTATTCATGACTATCTTAATCCACCACGTTAGAGTATAAATGACTATCTTCATCCACCAGGAGAGTGTATTCATGACTATCTAATCCACCAGGTTAGTATATATATGGCTATCTTAATCCACCAGGTTAGTGTACACTTAACCCATTTCATCCACCACGTTAGAGTATAAATGACTATCTTCATCCACCAGGTTAGTGTTTACATGGTTATCTTAATTCACCAGGTTAGTGTATTCATGACTATCTTCATCCACAAGGTTAGTGTATACATGACTATCTTAATCCACCAGGAGAGTGTATTCATGACTATCTTCATCCACCAGGTTAGTGTATACTTGACCATTTTCATCCACCAGTACATACATGACTATTTTTACCTTTTTAACTTCATATAGGAAACATTTTAAGGACCCTCTATACACTGATGAAAAATGTTTTTTGGACTTTGAGAAAATTATATAGTGTAAAGGAGGATATTTTGAAATTAACTAATTAATTTTTAATATAGGGAGAGTGCCTTTTTTATCCAGGAAAAATCTTCAAAGATAAAGAAGTAGTTATAAATAAAATTCGCTTTTTCTTACTCAAATGGAGAAAATACATGCAAATAAGTTTTCAACTACTCTGTCTTGATCTAATATAATGTTTAGAATACTTGGATTTATTTTAAATTATATGTCATACAGTGCAGATTACAATTTATTCTATTTCTATATCAAATGATGGGTCAGTCTAACTACACAAAAGTACCCTGAAATTAGGGTTAAGTGTAGAGAGGGTCCTTAACAGAAGTATAATAAACATGACTATCCTCATCCACTAGGTTAGTTTATACATGTACATGACTATCTTCATTCATTAAGTTAGTGTATACATGACTACCTTAATCCATCAGGTTAGTGTATACATGTACATCTACAGTCTTAATCCACCAGATCAGTTATACATTTACTACAGTCCCTCAATTTTATATTAATAGGTTAGTTTAAAAAGAGCATTGCTTAAATAGTGTTCAAAGAATTTTTTATTTAGTTTACCAGGAAAAAAACCCATTAAATTTGCATTCAGAGAATAAATTTAAAAAGGGAACAATGTCTTCAAATATTGGTGAAACTATGATACTTGTAAATTTATTTCAACAAGCCTATTCCTTCTTTTAAAAAAATTGGATAATATGTTTTGTAGAACCTCCCCTACCTCCTCCTACAGCGGAGAAAAAGAGGCATTCCGTTTCTGTGGTTGGGTCTTCAGGTACATCTCCTTCTCATGCCAGGAGCCCTAGTAGCACTTCCAGGTACCTATGGCTGTCAGAACATCTTACTTTGTGTTAATGTAAAATTACTTATTTCCTATGTAGCTAGTAACACAAGCTTTGATTGGTTACAAAGTCTGGTGTAAATTTCCGTACACCCGACTTCAGCCGGGGGTATAAAAAACGTGACATTACAATGCATAATTTCTCTATGATAAAAAGCTAATAACATGACGTCACAATGCATTGTATTACGTAGTAAATCTTTATCGATAGCTTGAAACACAGTTGATTGGACCTGTTAACAAGTAATTTATTTGGGCACATAGGAAATAAATTTGTTATCCAGGTCCAATCAAGGGTGTATGGGGATTTACCCCGGATTGTATTTCATACACCCTTCGGCCGAGGTGTATGGAATAAAACCCGGGGTAAATCCCTGTACACCCTTGATTGGACCTGGATAACTAATAATGTAGTACAGTTGAGCCCTGATAATCTGGACCCTTGTGTTCCCAAGTAAATTGCTTTGATTAATAAAGTGTCTGGATTAGTGAAACATATACCAAATATTATTGGTAAATATAAATGTAAATTTTGTCCCCCCCCCCCCCCCCCCCCAAAGTGTCCCGATTATTGGTATCCAGATTACTGAGGCTCAACTGTATTATGGAGAGCAGTGAAATTTTTATGTTACATAAGCAGAGTGTACAGGAATAAAATATGTGAGTCTTTCATTTAGACACGAGTCCCATAGCCCAAGATCCCCTCGCCCAGTGTCTGAGACATGTAGTTCCCCCCCAGTCAATGAACTTAGACCAGTTCGTCCAGCATCAGAAGTTCTACCCAGCCATTCTGCTGATGTGGACAAAATACAAACTCATCACAGTAAGTCCAGCATTAGAGGTTAGCACAGTAGTTGTTCATTTTGTTTAGGATTTAATGTTTTTAAAGTTCTAAAAGCTGAAATAAAAAGAAAGGAACTAGTTAACATGAGATGTGTTATTCTTTGCATCTGTAGGTCATGATGAGCCTTTAAAAGTTACCATGGTGAGGGGTCATCACAATTGGCTTTGTGTGGCATATCCACATTTTGTGTGCTGTTTCAGGTAAAATTTGCATATATGCTGCTTCAGGTAAAGTTTGCATGTTTATGAAATATTGAACACACTTGCTGAAACTAAACTTCTATAAACAGTTTTATTCAAATAACAATGCAACACACCTTTCATGATAGGATGAAAGATTCGGCAGGTTGGCAGTTGAGATGGACCAGTCCCTACATGGAGAATGTTGTCGACAGAGTGGCCATTAATGCTAAGGTTTTAAATCCCGACAACCCCAACAAGATGGTGGCTGCTGCTATGGGCAACATGATACAACTGTGGTTTGTTACAGAAGAAGGAACTAGCAGAGAGATTGGTGGGTTTTTGTAATACTTTTACATGTACATGTAGACCAAGAAATATTCAGTATTTGAACATTTATTTGTTATTCATATAAACTACATGTGCATATATTATACATTGATTTCATATGTATGTAGTGACAAACTTTTAAGAAAATAAATGAAGAACAGGAATATTTTTCAAATATAAGTGGTAAAAGAATGTAGCTATAAGCCCTAAATGATTTTAACACATTTTAAGTGCCATTTAACAGACAGATGTGCAAACAAATTTTTATGCTGTGCTAATGCAGTTTGTAATACTCTGGTGCAATATGTAAATGTACTTATTTATCCACCTTTGATACATTTTTAGGGAAGTTCAGCTTAAATGTGTCTGTTGACTCCTTGTTCTTCATTGGAAGTCAGCTGGTGGCTCTGAGTCAGACTGGGAAAGTTGGGGTTTGGCACGCAATGACTCAGCACTGGCAGGTAATGTCAACTTAACCTGAAACATTGTGATACTGTAAACGCATTTTTTTTTTTCTGTGGGGTCATAATTATGGGGAATCACAATTTATGTTCAATCTACGAGTAGGAAATTATGTGGATTTCTTGGATTGCCACTGTTTGTCCTATTAATGCCCTTTAAGTACACTGTTACAAATTTCCACGGAAAATCTGTGACAGCATACATAGCATAAATTAATCCCATGAAATATGTATCTTCAGTATTTACATGTAATAACAGAGTAGCACTTGTAACATATACAGTTCATGATTGAACACAATTGGACATGTAATTCCATTATTGGTGGGTTTTTTTTTTCAGATCCAAGATGTAGTTCCAGTGTCCAGTTATGACACAGCAGGATCTTTCCTGTTACTAGGTTGTGAGAATGGTTCCATTTATTACATAGGTAAGTCAAGCTGTGTTCTTCCACTGTTCAATTTTCTGAACTACCCTCTCACAGTTGATGGATGCATGAAATATTAATCACATTTTGACCACTTGTCCTACAGACATGCAGAAATTTCCTTTGAGAATGAAGGACAATGATCTTTTGGTGACGGAGTTATACAAGGACCCATCAGAAGACATGGTCACTGCACTTAGTGTGTATCTCACTCCAAAAACCAGTGAGTATTTCATACATATTATTGTTGCAACACTGATAACCAATCTTCAGACCAACTAGTATCTATTATGCTCCAAAAACCATTGTGTACGTCACAAAAGTGATTGCAAAACTGATAAGGCAATCTTCAGACCTAAACAACTACATGTACATGTATATATGGAAAGCGTAAAATTGAATTTCTTCTGCGAAATATTAATTATTTAACAAAATGAACAAAAATTCAGAAATTTATCACCTCTGTCTTCTTTAATTGTCTGTCTGAATTTGACCTTATGATAAAGGTATAACAAGTTATTTACATGGATGTTAAAGGTATTAGTGGTAACTGGATTGAGATAGCCTATGGCACAAGCTCAGGGATAGTGAGGGTCATTGTCCAACACCCAGAAACTGTAGGAAGTGGGCCTCAGCTGTTCCAGACCTTCACAGTTCACAGGAGTCCTGTTACTAAAGTGATGCTGTCAGAGAGACACCTTGTGTCAGGTACAATTTCAGGGGAAGTAACTAGTACCTCTGTGAAAGTAGACATTGTAGAACACTGTTTTCCAGAAATAGCTTTTTTTTTTGCCAATTTCAAATCATTGATTTAATAGTGTAATTTTTTCTTCTGAATTTTTACCTCAATTTTGAGGCCTGTTTTTTAACAAAATTGAATTATTTTTTAAAGATTGCATGTGAGATGTATATATGTATCCTAGCAGGGCAAGGACCCAAGTTGCTTTATTTAATTTAGCATTCAGTCATTAAAGCAACATGGTTTAGCTCTGAAATCTGTTGTAGTTTGTAGCGAGTATAATCACGTAAGGACGTGGAGTGTGACCCGCTTTAGAGGAATGATCTCCACCCAGCCTGGATCCACTCCTTTGGCTTCTTTTAAGATCGTGTCTCTTGAAGACGTAGACCCAATTATTAGTTATTCTGCCAGCAATGACATTGGTAAGAAACTAAAAATTTTAAACTTGTAGGCGACAGTAAAAGTCAAAGAAAATAAAAATTTACATGTAAATACTTTAGCATTGTCAAAATGAATTGCTTGTTTTAAATTAGGAAATATAAAATACATGTACGTGTAATGGTAATAAATGGTACATTTCTGCATAAAATGTTTAACAGGTCCCTATGGTGAGCAAGATGATCAGCAGGTTTTCATTCAGAAAGTTGTTCCAGAAACAAATCAACTGTTTATCAGACTTTCATCAAATGGTCAAAGGTACACCAAACTATTAATAAAAAAACACATCTACACATACTCATATACAGGTTATTTAACTTGATAATTATTGATTGTGTACTATTTAGTATTTATCGTATTATTTTCTTTTCAGGGTATGCGTCATTAAGTCAGTGGATAGTTGCAATATCAGTGCTTTCTGTGTTCACGAGTGTGAGGGCTCAAACCGCATGGGTTCTCGACCCCGGAGATACCTCTTCACTGGTCATTCCAATGGTGCCATTCAGGTAAACCACTAGTCTGATGTTAAAATTCACATACAGCTTTAATTCTTGTCTGGGATTTTTTTTATGTATAGTTTCTTGTTTTATAGCATTATGATGGCTGAAAAGGTCATCCAACATGTGTCACCGACTTCACATGCTTTAATAGTGTACTATTGTGATACATGTATTTTCATATCCTTGAATGACATTTACCGGTATAAATATCAAATGGCTTTAAGATGCATAAACAGCATAAATCCTCAAGTGGTTTTTATTGATACCTTTTGGCTATACAGTGTATATCCTTAGATAGCTTTTAAAGAAAAAAAATGAGGTCCATGTACAACATACAGAATCATATTCTCAGTGTATATGTGACATCAACAAATGTGTCTTCATTGCATGCTATAGACTATTGCATATACATTACTGCACATGTACACAACTACACATTTACATACAATCTGCTTTCTCATTGAATTTTCAGATGTGGGATTTAACTACAGCTTTGGATAAAATGGTCAAAACTGATCAAGGTTAGTACACATCTTAAATGGTAGGTGAATGTAGGTTATAGTTGTTTAGACTAAAATACCATCTTGGATGCTTTTTTTTTTTATTCAATGAGTAACATAAAATTTAACCCTTTTTATTAACTTAAAACCATGACAATGAAACAACAGTCTGTCTTCCCTTGTAGATATGATAATGCTAGGTGACTGTTTAATTTTGTGTAGAGGTGCCCACAATGTGACTTGAACCTGCAACTCTCAAATTCAAAATAAAAAGTCTGGGAGCTTGGCCTCTTCAATTAGAACACATAGCCATTTCAAAATCTTTTTACATTATTTTAAAGTATTTATAAACATGTACATGTGTATAATATTATGTACCATGCACTTTAAAACTTTTTCTTTATACTTGACAGGAACAGTGAAAGATGGTGGTCCAACTGCCAAAGAGCTAGTGAAACTCCTTGAACAATGTGACCTTTCTTCTTCAAGGTCACCCACCCCTTGTGTCAGCAGAACCCCCTCTGTGGTACACATGGCCCCACCTCAACAGGGGGCAACTTCTGGTAGGATGAATTTGTATTTGTAGATAAACATATACAAGATTCTTAAGTTGTGTGGGGTTTTTTTTTAATTATTTTTTTTTCAAATTATGAAGCAAAAGGTTAGGGTGAGGCTAAATTCGAGGTAATCAATAGCATAATTCAATAGTTTAATTTTTTTTCATATAAATATATTTTAAGGACAGTTTTTAGTTTTACAGATAATAAAAACTTATTCTGTTTTATGTTCTGATTTGGTTATTGTTGGTAAAAAAACAAGATGTGTTTGTGAAACACTGATGCCCCCGTATGGTAACTTATAGCAAAGGTTAAACTTTCTCAAATGCAAATCAAATACGTTGGTACCCAAAGTAAGGTCTTGTCTTGAGTAATATACCTGTGAAATATGAAAGCCCTAGCATCAACCATTGAATAGATATGGAAAAGGTTAAAGTTTTTCAAAAGTAATTCAAACATCAAGGTCAAGGTCAAATGGTCAAAATTAATGGTGCATAAGGAAAGGCCTTCTCACAAGAAATATACAGGTGAAATATGAAAGCTGAAGCACCAATCGTTCAAAAGTTATGACCAAGGTTAAAGTGTTTCAAAAGTAGGTCAATCTCCAAGTTCAAGGTCAATGGATTACAATTGTTGGTATCCAAAGGAAGGTCTTGTCACAAGGAAAAACATGTTAAATATGAAAGCTCTAGCAACAACTTTTCAAAAGTTGTGTCCAAGGTTAAAGTTTTTGAAAAGTAGGTCAAAGGCCGAGGTCAAGGTCAAAGGGTCAAAGTTGTTGGTATCCAAAGAAAGGTCTTGTCACAAGGATTACATATGTGAAGTATGGAAGCCCTAGCATCAGCGATTCAAAAGTTATGATCAAGGTTAAAGTTTTTCAAAAGTAGGTCAAACTCCAAGGTCAAGGTCAAAGGGTCCAAGTTGTTGGAATTCAAAGGATGGTCTTGTCACAGTTATTACATATGTGAAGTATGAAAGCCCTAGCACCAGCCATTCAAAAGTTATGGCCAATGTGAATGTTTTACAAAAGTAGGTCAACTCCAAGGTCAAAGGGTCAAAGTTGATGGTATGCAAAGAAAGGTCTTGTCTCAAGGATTACATATGCTAAGTATGAAAGCCTTAGCACCAACCGTTCAAAAGTTTCATATAGCCAATGTTAAAGTTTTTCAAAAGTAGGTAAACTCCAAGGTCAAGGTCAAATATGATGGTACCCAAAGAAAGGTCTTGTCACAAGGAATACACATGTGAAGTATGAAAGCCCTAGCACCAATTGTTCAAAAGTTATGGCCAAGGTTAAAGTTGGGGAAAAATTTGCAAAACTAGGTCAAACTCCAAGGTCAAGGTCAAAAGGTCAGTTATGGTGGCACCCAAAGAAAGGTCTTGTCACAAGGAATACACATGTGAAATACGAAAGCCATAGCTCCAACCAATCAAAAGTTATGGGCAATGTTAAAGTTTTTGCGGACAAACAGACAGACAGACAGAAGGATGGACAGGGCAAAAACTATAAACCTCCAAATCTTCGATACGGGGGCATAAAAATATTTTTAAAAAATCATATTCATTAAAGAAGGGAGAAAACTCCAACTTGTGAAAATAATATGGGTAAAAGTGCTACTATATGGAAACAATGAATTGAAAATTTAAGGATCCCCCCCCCCCCCAAAAAAAAGAAATTGAAATGCCTTATGACACCCTTACATTTGAAGGTCCATGGATTATGCAGTCAGAAACAGACAGTCTTGGAGAAGGGGCCACAGGAGGGGACTACATGGAAACCGTGGAGACAGACACACAAGTCACAAGAATATGAACAAAACAAGGACAAAAAAGAAGCAGCATTCAAATGACTCAGTTGAAAGGAGCATACTTAGTGAATAAGATATTTATACTGAAGTTTTTAATGCATTTTCTGAACATGCTTCATTAACACCTACATGTATAATATGAAGGCTTCATTACATTAAGTTAGTTAGGATCTGCTTATTTAAATTGTGTGATAAGTTTGTATGTTAGTGATATTATGTAATCTTTACATTTTCAGTGAAAATGCGAACTTTTTAATTCACCGTTTTAGAGTGGATTGTCGTACAACTGTTTAGATCTTTGACAGGTCTTGCTGATCAAAAGAATTCCTTTTTAATCTACTGTCACTATTTTTATGTGTGAAGACGTTTAGAAAAATACATGCAATACTGTAAATCATGTTTTACTTCCAATAACTTTATTTTCGCTTAATTATGTGAGGCCATCTCTTCAAGAAAATTTCATTCTTGGGTTTAATTGTATTAGTATAGATTATGTAGAACATTAACCAGAATTTGTGAAAATTTTGTCTTGCTTTATATAAATTCTATACAAGTATCTCGCAAAAATAAGGTGTCGGAAAAATTAATGATTTACAGTATGCAAGAGGCATAATTAATTTTCTCTCCAAGTTGACAATGTGATGTACAAGTCTTTACGATGTTTTATATTAATTGATTCTTTGTTTTTAATATGTATAGCAATCACTGTTCCATTATGGCATAAAATAAAAATGTTTAAAACTGTTGCATTCTTTGAATTCATTAAAAATGCAGGGCAGTATAGTTTCTTCGTTTTTAAAGAAAGAAGAATGACTTTGTCCCTAGTAGCGCATGTGTATTTGTGTATTCAATATATTCATATGATTGGCAAGCCCTGAACTAATTCATGTCCATCTGCTGGTTTCATTTATCCTTTGATGTGCTTTATTGGAGTTGTTCAGTCACAAATTATAAGCAGCTAAAATACATTGTAATTAAGTACATGTACTTGAAAATTGTGAAAGTATGATGAAATTTAATAAGATATTGTCAAGTTCCAATGCAGAATTCATTATTTTCTCTTAAAAAGGAGCTTTAGTTCTTCCAAAAATTATATGTAAATTTCCTTAGATATACTATGTACATGTGGTTGTATATCATTCCAAATTATTTGACATATACATCAGCTTGCTGCACAGAAGTGCAAGTTTTTATTCATACCAATGATACATATGCATGCAATGCCAATCTCAATGATTCTGTAGTAAAAAAGCTATGACATGCATCAATCAGATAGAGATTTATTCAACTGTACTCCTATTTCTGTTTGCAATCCAAGATTAACTTCGTTTTCAGATTACAAGTGGTTCACAAAGCAAGCATCCATGTACAGTGAAACACTGTTACAGTGAACATGCATATAATGAATTCATGCTGACAACTATGTGATGTTCATTCCCTGTAGTTTATACAAATTATATACTTAACAGAAATGACAATTTAAATTTATAAGGAATCAAAACTTCTCATTCCTGGCACTTTGCTGTGTGTGTGTTGCACTGTATAGGGTGTATGAATACCGAGTTCAATGCTGCATCTACATTAACGTTTCTGACTGGTTGAAGCTGGTCTTTAAATCCATTCTCAACTTAATACAGGTACAAATGATATTAAAAAAATAGACATTGAAGTATTTCTGGACATTTTATTGAATACACCTTTGGTAATCCAAATACTGCATCTAACCTACATTTCACACTCGTAAGCATGGGTAATTACCTTTTAGCTTGGAAAATCTGGTACCTCTATGGAATCTTTACTCCATGCAATATTTCACTTTAATGACACAAGTTGCACTTCCTCTATGGGACATTAGTCCTCTTAATTCTACCCAAGTTAATGTTGGAGGGAAAAAAATCCAAGTCTTGGTAAGTTCATTTATCTCAACTATAAGTCTTTGTTAACAATGTGAACATTGGAAAAATTATCAGACCAATCACCTAATAAAATACATGAACATAGTTTCAGTTATCACAAAAATTAATTATATTGTATAAATATGTAACATCCTATTGCCATGAAATTGCATGTACATGCACATTCAGTACATTACAAAAGAACATTCAGACGTACATGTATTTCAGACTTCATCAAAATATGCAGTACATACACATAATAAATGAGAATGGCACATGATAAACATGTTGAAGTTCATGAAATGATGACTTTATCTCCATTTGACAATTTTTAATCCATGATGTCAGACAGTAAGAGACTCGATGACCTAAAACACAGCACAATACTGGAGGAAAATCCAAGTACAATGATTTCTCTCTTCATTTCTCCCCATGTGTTATCTGTCCATGTTGCCAAACATATTCCCGAACTTTCCAGCAGCTCCTTGTTGGAATTGCCTCATCATGCCCTGGAGTCCCTGCATTCCACCTACAAGGGAAACGAGGTAGATTTTTAGACTTTTAATAACTTAACACATTCCTAAAATATACATAATTGTGAATTTTAATTCTATCATCAATTTTGACATACATTGTATTATTACATGTATAATAAACCTAGAATCAAATTTATGTGTTGTAGCTTAGACAAGATCTGTGACAAAACAAAATGAAAACTTTGTTACAAAGTTTCCTCCTTCTTTTTTTTAACGAAAATGCTCAGCTTACCCATTTGCTGTAGAACTCTGGGATCCATCATCTTTGCCATCTGTTGGTTCAGTTTGGCCATCTGAGATGGATTCACATTCTTACTCATGTCTCCACCTATGTGTGCATACAAATCAAATATGATTAATGTTGTGTTTTATTATGTACATGACATTTTAAGGTTGAGCATCCCTCTGTTTACTCATTAAAAAATTGATTTTTAATGTTTAATAATTTTCCAAAAGAAATCATATTCATAACTAAAATGCATAAAATTTCAGCATACCTTGCATGGTATAATTTGACAGAAATGGTCTTTTAACATGATTTTTTAGAAAGGAAAAAATAGTCATTAATCTTAGTGAGAGTTATCTCTTTTTAGAGGGTCATTGAACCTTAAGTAAAGTGAATATACAGCATAGTCTCTGTGTATGGTACATTTTTTTTCTAAACTCAGAGGTTTTTTCATACTTCCCCCCCCCCCCCCCAATATATGCATAGTTAAAATGTAATGTACATGTATATTTAGAATTATCTTTACATGTTTACTCAATATTTCTCTTGAATACTTTTCCCAGAAAGCTATTATGAATGCTTACCCTTAAAGAGTCCTTTAATGCCTCCCATCTTCTTCACCATCTGAGCAAACTTCTTGTACTGGGTCAACAACTCATTTACCTCCCTTATCGACACCCCAGCTCCCCTTGCTACCCTCTGTATACGTCCAGTCTGTCTGGTAAACAACCTCTCCCCATCCAAACTATCCAACTCTATTAAAGAGAAAGAAGATTTAGCTCATTCATATATCACCTTGTTGAATACCATATACCCAAGCAGATTTCTTTGCTTCCTCAAAGGTATAAGTTTGGTGGAACTTTCTTTGGCTGACAAGGAGTTCAGTGAAGTTTTCAAATAAGATCAAGTTCATCTTGTAGAGAGTTTCCAGTATAGTTCAATACAATTTACACAAGAATTTGAGTATAACTAATACCAGTTGAAAAATATGTTTAACAACAGACTGATCAAACCTATATCTTCCATGTGTTTAGTACTTACACCCATTGGTGCAAATTAAGCGATTGAAATTTAATGGGATACTACCAAACCAGTAAAATTAGCCAAAGTTGCACCCCACTAAAAAATGCTGTTATACAGTACTGTTTGGCTGTATTTTATGTTTGCTTGTTGACAGCTTGCTCAAAATACATTGAGCTTTAAGATTTAATTCTTTATGGCCCTAAAGACAAATTTTATAGACAATAAATATGAATTATATATGATCCTGACCTTTGTCGTTCATGCTGTCCATAATGGTCATAAGTTTCTTTAGGCGGGCCATCGACTCCTGTTCCCCTCCTTTTGTCAAAAAGTCAGAACTGAACCCAGGAATCATGCCCTGTCAAGAACACAAAATTCAAATTACAAGTATGATCTACATTTACAGTATAAAGTCTACAATTGTTTATATTAATATTATAGTGTAGCCTGATTTGTGATTTGTAATAAAATAAATACATGAACTTGCATCTGCTTTGACAGATGAGAGAGGCATACCACACAGTTTGTTTTTAACAAGCAAAAAGAACATGAGAGTTTGATGCATATAATATACTGACATAATGGTGAATTCATAAAAGACTCTTCAATTGCTTTATCAAATTATTTCTTAGACAACAGTTTAATTAAGAAATCAATTTTCCCACAAATTTACATATAACTAGATAAAAAAAAAATTATTTCTCACCATAATCTGACTGAAGGGACCCATTTTCATGATGTTCTGGAACTGTTCATACATGTCTCGTAATGTGAATTGACCTAGATTAAAATACAATTTTTGCTTACATTTTCTCAAGTGAAAAATAGTTGCTTGTCACTGTATTACATTAAATTTGTCAAATGTCTCAAAAAATGTTGAATAAATTTGACTTCAATGAATGTACCTTGTTTGAGCTTCTTCATTAGGTCTTCATTGTCATCTAGCTTGAGTTCATTTACTTTGTCTATCAGACCTTCAATATCTCCCATACCTAAAAAGTTTAGAAGCTGTTTGATGACATTTGTTTAAACATTTATCTATTTGCTAAATGTTATCAAAATCAGATGCACAGTTAGGAACAATAAGTGATTAAGTCATGTACAAGAAAACTCTTTCTTGTACAGGAAGTTTGTTATGGTAATCCATTGTCTTCAACCCTGTAATTTTTCAGACCTAGCATTTTCAAATGACAAATAAATTACTTTGAGGTAGAATATTCAGGGAGAAGTCTTACCTAACAATTTGCTAACAAAAGGTTGAACTTTGAAAGGTTCAAAATCATCAATGTGTTCTCCTGTTCCTATAAATATCACAGGACTCTTGGTGGCTGCCACCCTACAAGAAAAATAGGGTTAATTTTTCAAACTAACTCTTGTGTAACACACTTCATAAATTACTCCCAGGTCCCAAGTTTATTCCCTTTCTTTTTCATGAATTCTTGAGATTCATTTGTGACAACAAGAAGTATATCAAATACTCACGCACTGAGTGCTCCTCCTCCCTTGGCGTGGCCGTCCAGTTTGGTTATAATGACAGAACCAACATCTACTTTGTCTTTGAAGGCTTTGGCCTACACAAATAAAAGTCATTCTATGAATTCTCTCCATCATTTTTCACTTCATGAAAATAATCATGACATTTATGTCATTTTATTTTTCTTCTGTAACTACTGTACACTTATCAAGGTTAATCACACTGTATTTGATAAATAAAGCTTACCTGTGCCTCACATGCTTGACCAATGGAAGCATCCATCACAAACACAATGTTGTCTGGATTCTATAAAATAAAATCTACATTTTTAAAGTCTTCTGACAACAAACATGAAGAAAATTGATTACATCTGTCAGAACAACTGGTCAGTCATAAATCCCTACACTGGAATATTTCTTCATTATGACTGAATACAATCTGTATTTTATTCATTTTCTATTCTTTAAAAATATGCTCACAAAGAAATTTCATTTCCCACCTCCCTATCAACTTTAATCTGATATGGAGTGAGGGGCACACTTTAGTACAAGAAAATAAACTTTTCCAGACTTTTCCACATATGAACATAATAATTTTCATTTATTAGTAGAAAGAAATTAGTATGTATACAAATATAGCCTTCTGATGAGGTCAATCCCTAGATACATGTATATAGACCTTTATAGAGAAAGCATATTGTGCTAGGTAGATATGCTTTCTCTAAATCTATATACATGTATCTAGGGATTGTACAAAATCAAATGGCTTTATTTATTTTATTATTTGTTTTATTATTTTTTTATATCAGTTAATGTAAATTATGAACTATGACAAAACCAAATTAAACTTACAGTGACATTATTGACTTGTAACATTTCCTCAAACAGGGAATCCTCCTGCTTATGACGACCACTAGTGTCCACAATGATGATCTCAAAATTCTCCGATCGGAATTTCTCTACTCCCTCCTGTGCTATCAACACAGGATCTATTTCTGTGTAACTGTGTGAAAAAAATTGTAACATCAATTACAAACACCCATAAAATGACATTTTATAAAAGTGGCTTTTCTAGGTTGGTTGTTATTTACCTTCCATAAAAGGGGATTCTTGCTTTGGTGGCATTCTGTTTCAGCTGATCGAAAGCTCCTGCACGGAAAGTGTCGGCACAAATTAAGCACGTCTTCCATCCTTTCTTCTGGTAATAATAGGCAAGCTAAAATTTAAAATATTCAATTTAAGTACATTTTCAGGTACATGTATTCCATTGATTATGAATCCAATTCAATGCAATTTAGTGCTAAATCAAAATTCTAATACATGAATCTCCTTACAATTTAAAAATTCCAGTTTTTAGAAAAAATGTTGTTTACTTATGCAATCTCTTTTCACACAAGCCTAACACTCTTACTTTAGTACATGTTGTTGTTTTACCGCTCCCCTGGAGTCCAACAAACATGATGACATTGTTTTTTCCTTTGGTGGGTGTCCAGGCCTTAACACCAGGATCAATCAGCTATTTTAATAATAAAAAATATACTAAATTTATTCTCAGATCAACATATAATTTTTTCTTTACATATTTTTTATAGTCTAACAGGTTCCAGCTGACTGCAATGTGATATAAAATTAACAGAAAGCTAAATGTGTTATGTGACAGTCCCCAACTAATGCAAAATATTGCCATTATTTTATTTTTTACTAACTGTGAAATACAGACCTGTTTACCCATACTTTTGTCTCTCAGTAGTTTTTAATTGATTTGTCAGTGAGATTTGGCATTTGCCAGTAAGATTTCACTTTCCATCAATTTTACATATATTACTAGAGAACAACTACATTTCTGATTACCATTTTTCTTTTTTAAACCACCGCGTTTTAGCAACCCAACATAACTTAAGTGTTTGAAATCTCTCTCTTTTTTAGCGATTAAAAAGCTTCAAACTGGGACAGATCATAACGAAAACTACCTGCTCAAGTCCAAACAAACGGATTTCCGACTTCCGTATTTTCATAAGATCTAAAGGTGAGACGTATTTTGGACTCAAAATCCGTAAAAAATACGGCAAAATCATAAGAGTAAACAGGTCTGGAAATAATGAAACCAAAAGAAGTTACTTACATTTTGAAAGTACATTTGTAATCTAGACTTACACTTAACATTGAATTTTTTCCCTTAAAATACTTGAAAATACCATTTTAATATGATATTTTATTTACCTTTACAAGTTCTTTGAAAACAGCTGACTGTATCATTCTTCTCTTGTTCAAACCACCTGCCATTTCGTCAAAGTCAATGACAGACCTAGAAAAAAGCATTGTATTTTTTGAGTATTCATATTAATTTCTGTCATTTCATAAACCTAATTTTCATTCACCACATTGCCCATTCATCCAGGGTTTAACACTATAACGGCACATCCGAACAACACCGTCTAGTAGATGAGAGGTCTAGTCATGTAAAATTATGTGACCTGGCTGACTGGTAGCTGGTTGAATGGATGAAATAAATGTAAACCCCTATTTCAGTCTTTCAAATAGATATTATAATAAATTTTATGTGTCAATTGTAAAAAAAAAAATGGCCATCACAATGTAAAGGAAAATTTCCCTGATTGACACAATTTCTATTTTAGTCATAGCTGTAAGAGACAAGTCACGGTCAAAAGAGGTGCTGTTAACAGAGTTGATTCATTGATATAAGTACATTTAGATATTGTATATTGTATTCTTTAATTAGACTAAGTTCATTTATATTTAGAATAATTTTTTTTCTATCAAAGTTCATTGAAACGTTCTTGAACACTTTTAATGTTATATATTTTATGTCCTGATTAACCTGACTCAATTAGCCATGATTTATCATACTGTCCATCTAAAGCTGCAGTAGTTGATGACTTTGACACATGTTTGGGAAACAATGTTTTTATTAAAAATAATTACTTGGTTTCATGTCATTCACTGAAAAAAAAAAACTGAAGAGAGAGAAAAAAATGGAAAGGTTGGGAGGAATCTAAAGAAAAACAAATGTTATCTTATAAAAGTTACCAGGTTACATGTATAAGAAGTAAATTTACAAGTTAGGTCAGGGCTAGTGGCTTTTTTGCAATTGGTCTGGGCTAGTAAAAAATATGGGAAGTAGCTCTACTGGTCTATTACTCATAAAAGTTAATGTCAAACCTTGTCACTCATAATAATTCCTTGTGCAATCATTCACCTCTGAAACCATCTGCACTACATGATTATGTAAATTTATACTGTACCTGACATTTTCTCTGAGAGTCTTGACAAGTTTGATATTTACATCTGCTTCAATTAATGCTTTACAAATTTCTTTCAGCATCTCATTTAGTACCTGCAAATTCCAAAATTAAACATTACATGTAATACCTTTATATTTATCCTGCAATATTTAATCAAACATGAAAGACATGAGAATTTGTAGCATAATGTGGCACTATAAATATTGAGCACACCTCTTTGAATACATGTACACATTCAAGGTGTTGACTGTAGATGATAACTTTTTTATTCAGAAATTCCAGAAAACAAATAAGAAAGTAGTTTTTACCCATTTACAAATCAAGATTGGGAATGCCAATCATGACAGTGTTTGAAAGATTATAGTTACTACATGTATTTTATTATAATATTGACATGTACCAACCTCTTCATTAATGATGGTGGCATTGCCCAGAGACCGCAGAGCGGATGTGATTTTCCTTCCTAAATCTGCTAAAACCATCTTGCTGCCAAAAGTTTAACGATGTTGATTTACAAAGAAAAAATAAGGAACAGCTGTAACCAGGATTTTCTCTTTTATGAGAAAACCATATGTCTCTCCTTTCAATTCAAATATAAATAATATCTGAATCACTACGAAGTCTTCATAGTTTACAGAATGTTCTGTGACGTACACTCCAATAAATAAGTGGAAATTCTCTCGCTGAAACCGCTTCTCATTCGAGTATCAAGACTTTCTGGAAAATTATTTTCTCAATTTCTGTTGCAATATTTTCTTCTCCACGTCCAACTTCCGGAATAAACAACTCGTACCAAAAATTATTCGCCTTAACATTGTGCATCGCTTAGCTTTTCAACAAGCAATTTTTATTCCAAAGTATTTTCATTGAAGCAACATTAAAACTTTTAAATTGAAAAGGACAGCATTATTTTTTTTTAAATTTCTCCAATAATATTACACCCAGATCATGAGATGCAAACCAGAAACTAACAGTTACAATTTGTCAAAGAATACACTCCACAAAAGGAAGAAGAAAGAAGAGGAAGATGTACATGCTATTTTTTTATGTCTCATTTCTCTCTATCTCTTCATCTCCCCTCCTAAATTTTACCCCCTGACCATGGTCATATGACCTGAACATGACCCTGACTTTAGATATGACTTAAGTCAAAGGCATGATGCACTGTGACCTTTAGTTATAAGCAACTTATACTCATGATTTTAATGCTTTCTAATTATACTGGTTCCAAAGTTATAGCCATGATTAATCATTTTTAAATTTACTTCAATGGCCATTGATAATTGACCTTAAAGATAAGAATTTCACAAATAAAAATCATGTCACCTAAAGGTCATCTGGATAAGGGCATGAACAAGTGTTCTTGAAATACATTGCCTTAAGTGACATTGACCTTTGAGATATGACCTTAGCTTAGGATCTAAATTTATCTTTAGGTCACGAGCAATTTCAATAACTGGTTAAAGAGTAAATTGGCTCTGAAATATTTTTAGTGAATGATAACCAAGTCAAAACAAATATGTCTCCTCTTTTAAAATAGAAAATACTTAGAAGTGTTATAAAAAAATTGTTTGCTTCCCTTTAGCAATGCTATTTTAGTCAGAGTAAGTACAGGCAAGTAAGTAGAAGAATTGGAAGGGGATTAGAGGTTTCTGCTTCAAAACAACACTGATATTTGTTCCAAGTTCACTTTTTTCAAAATAACTTCACTATATGTAAAATTATCAAAACAGGGTATATTTTTATGGTAATATATTATAAACAGATTCACTTCATATGGTTAAACAGAAAAAGTAGAAAGAACACCATGAATCTTTTCTAAAAGCTTCATATGTCATTATGAATGTATATTTACTGGTAAATATTACCAGTACAACTTAATCCAATTTGTTCACACCTTTCCAAATAAATCCTTAATACATTTTTAAAACATAAGACAAATGCACTTTATCATTTTAAGTACTTCATGCAGTCATGTAGAATGTCGATTCCATGAAGTTCTCTTAGTCTTTCTAGGTGCCTCTTATCACCTTGAGCAAGCTTTGCTATAAGAATGGCACAGTTTTGCTGGAGACCAGACTTCTTTCCATCTCGTGCCAAAACCAAGAGGTCTTTAATGATATCTGTCTTTGCCAGGGCTGCACACACTTTGGGCACCTGGGTGCAATGGCTGAGACAGAGAGCAGCATTTCCTATCACAGTTTCATCCTCACATTTCAGCTGTTTTATCAAAGTACCTAATCCTTTGTGGTCCACAACGAAAATTCGAGCATGGTCATTTATCTGTGTGCAGCCTGTAAGGGCCTTCAGGGCGAACTTCCTATTGGCTGATTCTTCATCATTCTTCAAAATGTACATCAAGACCTCCACCCCTCCATTGTCACAGAACCAGTCTACCGATGGAATGGAGTATGGTAAGATGTGGCTGAGGATTCCTAGGCTGCGAGATACCATCAACTTGTAGTGTTTCAGTGACTGACAGATCATGAGGCACTGTTTGCAAATGGGAAGACTAAACTCCTTAAAGTTCATACTAGTTTGTTCATGGGTCAAATTAGATATGAGGCCTAAGCAAGCTTCCACAAGCTCCACACTAATAGGTTGAGGTAATTTTTGTTTGTGGCTAGAGACAGCATCTAAAAGGATTTTCCAGAGATCTTTCCTATCGGAAATCTTTTTCCTGATGACAACATCTGTTGAGAGGTTGGTGATTGTGGATACGCATGAGGGTAGAACAGACTGTTTACTAGATCCCTCTTTCAGAAGGTTTTCAAAAGCCGGTATCACACTGATTTCAATCTTATCTCTTAGCTGCTGCTTAAACTTGTTGTCAAGTGCCAGGTTGTTCAGAACACATCCTGCAGTTAATGCAGCATCATCATTTGCTCTGATTAAATTGAACACAATGGTAAGTAATCTGGAAATGTCAAACTTCTGAAACACCAATGATCGTCCAGTCACCGATATTGTCACTGTGTGAAGAATCTTCACACAACTGGATTTCAGAACACGACCTAGACCTTTCATTTTCACTTCCATGAACCTCATCAGTTTTTCAGGCATTCCCTCGATACACAAGAAAACTTCCTGATTCTTCTCATTTTCTTCACAAGCCAAGCTGAACATGCACAATCCAGAGTTCAACATATCTAGTTCCTCCTTTGATAAGCTCTTTGGTGAAGCAGAAAAACATTTAGAGAAGCATGGATGTTCATTAACAATTTGGAATCCTCCCTCTGTTCTAAAGAGAGTCCGCTGCTCATTGTTTTTCAGGAAATTTTGCATTATTTGGAATCCTCCGCTGTAGTAAATAGGAAGCTGGTCTTTTTTCTGGAGTTGCTGAAGTAAAGCTACAGGGCCTTTTTCACCTGCCTGAAAAGCTTCCTTTGCCTTATCTTCCTCCTGCTGTGTCCTTTCTGTCCTATCAACTTCTGCCAAGTAGTCGTTGATCAGATTTTGTTTGGTTGGGTCACATTCAAGAGCTTTCTTGTAAGCCTCTCTTGCCTCCTTGTATTTCTTGAGACCAAGATTAGCCTTTCCCATCAGAACATGGGCTTTCATGCTGTTGTTGAAAACCCTTATTGCCCAATCACAGTCAACAAGAGCATCTTCATATCTACCTAATTTTATGTTGGTCTGTGCCTTATTGGTCCACAGGGCAAGATGATCTTTGATGTGAGTGAGTCCCTCTGTATAGAACTCCAGTGCTTTCTCATAATTTCCCTGTCGAAATTCTTCATTTCCCTTCTCTTTCAACTCATTAGCCTTCTTTTCACCAACTTTTCTCCTTTCTGCCCTCTCTCTTGCATCTGCTTCCATTGCTGCCATGAAACCTAGTTGATCTGGTGGTGCCATTGGCTGGGGACCACTGGGAACTGGTGCTGTGGAGGGGGACTTGTTGATTACAGTTTTACTGAACCCTGTTTTAGTGGAGGGTAATGGTTCCTTGGACTCCTCCTCATCTTCCTCTGTCTGGTTCAGTTTTTCATTGAGCTCTGCTTGGTTTTTGGCAATGATTTCATCAGCTTTCTGCATAGCTTGTTTGACATCCTTATCCTCTCCATATTTGAGAGTTTTGACCTAAAAAAAAGAAAAGATTTATATTTCACTTTTTCAAATTAATTGATATAAATTACTCTAATCACATTCTAGGCAAACAATAATTATTAATCTAAACTACTGTAAACCCAAAATTGAGCCTATTGGTAATTTTGATCTTAATTAAGTCTATACCAACATGTTTCAGAACAGTGAACTGACAAAGTTGTCAATGCCTATACATGTATTTTTTTTCATAACTCTTGTGAGTATTGTCCCTATATTTTCAAGATTAGTCTTGTCAATTTATCATTTTAAACATCAAACTAATTGCAATAGAATTTTTTTGTTATAAATAAACTCTAGAATGCACAAAATAAATGTGGTAACTGAAAAAAAATAAGATGAGGGGGAAATTTGGACTACATAATTTGATAAATATTCTATGATAAATACCACATAAAGTGGACATTACTCTTGTAAAATTTGGTTAAAATATTACAACATTTTTCTACTTTTAAGAATTAAAGAGGAAATGAATTGAACTGTGTATAATGTCATTTAAATATGCAGTTAAACCTTTTATACTCTACAAAAAAATTCATTACAGATTCCATGTCTTATAATAATGAAATTTTACAGTAAAAGCTCTCAGAACTGTACATAGGTCAAATTTCTGTAAATCTCTAGTATAATTTTAATCATTATATTTAGTATTTATGAAGTAAATGAAATGACCAGTGCATACAGTAAAACTTGTTTAGTACGAACACAGATATTGCGAATTCACGGATATAGTGAAGTTTTCTTGGATCCCCAGCTATTAAAATTTAACGAATTCCTTATACGGATATAACAAATTACGGATATAGCGAAGTAATTTCACAGGTCCCAGTGACTTCATTATAAGCGAATTTTACTGTACTTAAAAATAATATAAAGGAAAATAATGTACATCTTTTCTAAACTCTGTATTCACTATCTATTAAAATACTCTAATATTTCCAAAATAACAAAAAAAGTATGAAGTTAAATTCAAATCAACCATTTCAAATTTATATTGTCTATTTGAAGTAATGATCTGATAGACTCCAAAATATTTCAAGATTATGCCATCATGAAAAATGGGAATTTTCTATTGATTACTTCTGGATTTACAGAGTTATGCCCCTTTTCAATAGTTAATTAAATCATGCTAAAATCATAAGATTTTCATTGTGTTTAAAGATTCTAATTATTAGATGCAATACTATAAAACTATAAATGCTATAAATAACATACAATATTTTCCAATGTCATTCTTAAAACAGTCTTTTAGCCATTCCAAAGAGCCGTACATAGCATATCATGGTGTAAAACGATGTCTCAAGTCAAGGAGGAATATTTTGCCTCAGTTGATACCGAAAAAAGATGATAAAGACAAGTGTTTCATGCATGGTTTTGTACATAATTTTTCCATAGCATTTTCACTGAAACCAAAAATGACTACAGTACAATTTTTAGGAGAGGGTATGCCCTTTAATTTGGAGCTAAATATCTTGCCTTATTAAACTAGGCCAACAATCGTGCTGATAACCTAGATTATCCACACGACGGGCATGCTAATTGCACGTTATTTGCACAAAGGTTGTGCCGATAATTGAGATTATCCAGGGATACAAATTAACTTTCAGAT